AACAACATCGAAAATAACAGACTGAATATCAGCTGTTTGTCGACGACTTGTTATTAGGTAATTAAAATAAAATATAATTTTATTCTTAAATTAATATATAAACTTAATTCATTCTAGTCAATGTCGTTCATCATCATTTCATATTCTTACACCAACTCGTCCAGCTGTACAATTAAATTGTTCAAACTTATTATTTGCTCCTTATAATACATCCTATATTAAACTACCAGAACATATGAAAAAAACAGGATTATGTAAAGATTTAAATTTATGGAATAAACCACTCATTACATATCCAGCACATATGTTTAATAAACACTCGTGTACCATTATCTTGAGAAAGTCACGAGTTTTTAATCGTAAAAGAAAAATAAATTTCTACTCTAATATATTGTTTAGGATATCGTTCTGATTCACAATCTGGTGAAAAAATTTGACCCTAGACGACTGTTGGTCATTGATGAATTCTGATGATTTTTATCCAATAAGTACCATACGTTCAGAAGATCAACAAAAAGTAATATAAAATATATTATCCACTATTTTTAATTGATATTGATTATTCTCTTTTTATTTTAGGATTGTTTTATTCCATGTTTTATTCCTATTGAATATGAAAATGCTCTTGATAAACGTCAAAAATCGATATCATTATTAGCAAATGAAATAACGGATGCCCAATTAAACTAAGAACAACGACAGCGTTTTCATCGTTTTGTTGTCACATTTTTAATCTTGGTTAGAAGGAATGGGAAACAAAAGAATACTCGATCATTTATCTAGTCTACTACTCAATTGAATAGCAAATTTTCTTTTATCATTCTTTAATTTTACATATATAACAACCATTTTTACTTAAGAACTTTATCTATTTTTTTAGTATTTGAATTTGATTTTATTAAAATAGAATAATGAATAACAATCTTTTTTTTCTTCCTTGTTATAGTTGGCATATTTTGTAACTTTATACGCTTTATACGCAATTACAAAACGTATATGTACGTTTTCTGGCAGATTCCCACTAGAAACCTTGCACAGACACACAGACAACCATTTTGTAAGACCCTGACTAAAGTCAAGGGAATAATAGAGGTTGTTGATCTGTAGAAGTATCTATAAATGTGCTGTCTGTATATTCTATGCTCAGCTCGTTATATACATCATATCAACAAAAAATGCGGACGGAAAATCATGCTTGATTGATCCTATTTAGAAGTTTTGCTTTCGCTGTTGTGCGCTTATTTTGTAGTATTTTCTAGCACGAGATTTTATTTTTGTTCAGTAAGTTGAGCAGTAAAAAATAAATCAACATTTGAAAGTAGGAAATACTTTACGCGTCGCAGAAAAACTAGACAAAACGGGGCGGGCTCAAAATTGCATTTTATTTTGCGAAGAAAAATTTTGCCCCGCAAAGATTTTGATCTTGCCCGCCACTAGTAACAAATACCTACAAGCCATGCACTTCAGAAAAACCCTCACTAGGGTAGACTTTGCTTCTTCAAGTCTTGCCTAGAAACTTAAAACCATTGAACTAACGTTCATTACAAAAGAAATCCTTTACTACCAAAGCAACAAAATATTCGCAAAAATATTCTTTATCAAGCCTCAAAAGCTACTTTAAGCTCCTGCAGAACACGTACAGTAAAATGAGACAACAAAATTTATCTAAAAAGGGCAAGCTGCTTCTTCTCATTCATTTTGTCATCTCTCTTACGAAAGATAAACTTTACAGTCTGCCGGCCATAGGTAGTTACTATTTCTCAATAAACCTGTCCTCAGTTCAAAATGGAATGGAATCTACTTAGATATTTATGCATAAAGATAGTCAAAAATATCAAACAGACCAGCAGCGTTACTTATTGGTCAAAAGAAGAGCAATTATATTCGTCCATATTTTAATGTTGGCGTACTGGCCATTTGAATTGCCGCTCTCTTCCATCATTGTGGTCAGATCCATAGCAACAGACACTAAGCGAAGAGAGTAGCTCAGGGAATTACAAGATGCATAAAGGTCTAAGTTGAGAAGCCGTGTATTTGAAGACCTCGTATTTTAATTGTTTATTAATGTTGAAACGATAAAAGTTTTCCAACTAACGGGTTCTCTTAAATTTAAAATTTTTCTCTCCTTGTACGGCAAATTTATATCTCGTGTTCTAAGCGTTTTTTAGATCAATGGCTGGCAGACTGTCAGGAAACAACTAACAGCTCAACATAAAAGCGCAGAATAAACATGCTTTTGTCTTTTAGATAGCACTTTGCCTTTTCCATTACCCTTCATTGCATTTATTTAAAGCGCTATATTGCCTATTTCCATTAAATACGGAAGTCAAACAATTTATCTCATTTTTTAAAAAATATAACTGCAATTATTTTTTCTGGCAGCTAGTTTTCAACGAATGCTAAGGTTAGCTGCTATTAGCAGGTAACTTCGGACAACGAGGACGAATAACCTTTCATTCAGTATCAATGTTTTATTTCTTGTCTTGATTTGCTCAAAAGGAAATCCAATAGGAGTCTTACGCACGCTAATGCACTTTACTGAATATGTTATGTTACATAGTCCACAACGTAAGGATCCCACTGAATCATTTTATATAATATATTATGTATATATAACATTAACTATACAGTAAAGTGCATTAGCGCGTACAAGACTTCTATTGGATTTCGTTATGAGCGTATAAAACACTGAGGCTGGATGAACTGTATTTTTTTTCTGTTTTTCTTTGTACATATGGGTGTGATTTGGTGGCTTTCTATCTTAAAGTTAAGAACTTCTCTGGGCTTTTGCATTGACTTTCTCAATTTGATTTCTCCTGAATACATGAAAATTTGCATTTGCATTTTTAATAAGATGGCAAAGCAAAATTAAGTACAGGGCAACGTGGGTGAATCGATTGATTCACGAAAAGTGAGAGCCGTTAAAGGTTGCTAACCTTTAAGAACAAAGACTCCAATCGAAAAAAACATAAGGAAAAGATAAGAGCCAAAAGTAAAAAGCTTTTGCTTGGAATCGACAGGTGAATTAACCATCTACGCTCGGCAGCTGATCGAGCTTAGAACTTGTTTAGCTTCGCTTAGGCTTGATGGAAAAGTTTTTTCTTATTAGCAACGGTGAGCCATCTTGCGCTTGATTATGATGCCATCTTACGTTAGAAAAAAATTCGTTTTTTGATTTGACACTTCGTTCTTTTTTCATAGTAGTATAGCAGTTATGATAATGTCGTCGTGGAAGGATAGTCGGTCGTAAAGGGTTAAACGAAAAACATCGAAATAAAGCAAAAAGAAACGAACGAACATAGGATTTTTAACTGCAAGCAGTCTGAAAGATACTGCTGCTATGCTAAAGAGATAAAGCTCGTTTGAGTGCCGCTAGATGTCTTCTAAGGTGTAAGACTTAGGTCTTTCAAAAAGCATTCAGAAAGGTGGTATTAGTTTCCTAAATAAATGGAGAAATGAAAGTTTTTCATATTATCTCTTCTGAACCGTCTGCAGTATTCAAGGCAGATTCAACAGTAAACAATAATATACTGCGTCGCGTCCATGCTGGTTTATCTTTATATTGTACGGATCGCTACGTGTAATTTTTGTTTTGCATTAATGCACATTTTTGCTCTGATAAATAAGCTACTTCTTTTGTATTGTTTTTCGTGTTTTTTAGAACCTTGGCTATTTGTTTGACTATAATTAGTCTCTCGTTTTTATCACTTTGACAAACGGCGAGACATGTCTATTCACGCACGAATATAATACTGAAACTCTAGAAATCTGGACTAAGTACCTAAGAGTCATTGCACGAGAAAAACGCCTGTTTGCCACAGAAGCATGCTCAATCAATGTCTCAGATTCTTTTCAAAGTAGTCTCATCGTGTTCAGCATATGTGGAAACCTACAAATCCAAACGTTCAGCGTCTCCGGAGTTAGTCTCAGAGTTATAGGTGATTTTCTGAAGTCCTCTCGATGAAAAATTCAGCATCCAAAAAATGGAAACGAAAAATAAAAGTGCTGT